AAAATAAAATTTATTTAGGTTTTTTTTTTTTAATTTTTTTTTTTATCTTTGCTTCCAACAAGGCTTCAAGCAACCACTAATTAGTGTTGGAAGTTACTGGAAAAGAAAAGATGAAGATTGTAGAGCAAGATAACGATTGACAGACGACTTATAAGATTGCAAATTATATGAATCAGGAAAGCAAGATGGAGGAAGCGAATTCCAAAGAACTAATGTTCGAGGAAAAAAACTAGACGAATAAGAGTTTTTGGAGCACTTAGGAATAGTAACAGAAAAAGGATGAGAATGAATTTTAGTAGATGGCACAAGAGACGTTAGCTCTTTCGAGCAGTGCCCATTATAGTATTTGTAGAAAAGAGAAAGAGAAGCAACATTACGAAATGTGACAGAGGTTGAAGGTTGGCTGCAAGAGCAGGTCCAACTATGTTTACAATGCGTTTTTGCACCTTGTCTAAAAGAGAAAGGGCATCATTAGAAGATCAGCCCCAGATATGGCAACAGTATTCCGTACAAGGCCGGACTTGAGATTTATAGAGATAGAGAATAGAATCAAGAGTAAGAAAGTGACAAGCTCGATAAAGAGAAGCAACTTTAGCAGATGCTAATTTCCAAGAAAGATCAGAAGTAAGAGTTAATCCTAGAAGATGAAAGGTAGGAGACTCATCGAGTACATTACCGTTCATAAATATAGGAAAGTCTAAACTATTGTGATAACGATTGGCCAAAAAAATTTTTTTTTTTTTAGTTTTATCTGAATTAAAGTTTAAAGGTTTGAAATATTAGTTTTTAAAGGTTTGAAATATTATTGGGCCAGATGAATTAGGCCTTATGGCAGCACTTTTGGATCCATGATATAAAGATTTGAATTTTATTAAATTAATTAAATTAAAATTTTAAATTAACTGTCTAATTAATACTAATTTAATACTCATTTGTATTTGTATTATGTTCATCACTGTATTATTAATAGTAATTTAATACTCTATTTAATACTGTCATTTAATTAAAGTAATTGTTAACAAATACTTTTTTTCAATCAAAACAAAAAAATTTCATAGCTTAAAAATGACCAGAGAAGTTAAAAAATAGTTTCCATTCTTTAAATGAAAATAAGTAAGATTCAGAATATTTATCATACTTCTCTTACACAAAATTGAGAGACCTTGTATATAATGTTCTATATAATGTAAAATACTCGTATGAAAATCAAAAGATAGGTAAGTAAAGATTTAATATTTGTTTTAATTAAAAAAAAAGAAATATAATTAAGATATATATATCTATTAACTATTAAGATATCTGTAAAAAATAAGTTGCTCCTCAAAATAATTTATTTTTACTTTTTACAAAATTTTTTGCTATGTTTGGAAAAATAATACAAATAAATTTGTTTTGCTGTATGTTAAAAAAATAATACAGCGTATTACAAAGTAGAAAAATGCAGCTTTGTTCAATTAGATTTTTCATTTTTCAAAAGTCTACCATGATGTCAAATACTAGAACTTCTCTGAATTAAACACGCTTTAAAGGAATCGCCTAAGTTTGTAGATTGTGACATATAATTTAAAGTTTTTGAGTAAAATGGAGAAGGCAAGCTTTGGCTAAAACAACAAAATTAGTTTTTCTCAGTATGCATTTATTATTTCTTTTTAATCAAAAAAACTTGGTTTAGACCTCCTTTTTCAACATTATCTTTATATGAACTCCACATGGGAGTTTGAGATCCCTTTAAGGTGTTAATACACTAAATTTTTCAAAAGCATCTTTTAGTGTGAACTTAAGACAATGGCAAATACACTAAATTTTTCAAAAGCATCTTTTGAATAATTTAGTGTAAATACACTAAATTTTTCAAAAGCATCTTTTAGTGTGAACTTAAGACAATGGTTGAAACAATTTATTACTTAAACCCAGTTCCTAAAGTTCCTAAACCTGAGTGAACGCCAAGATTTTTTTTAATTTTAAGTTATTCACCTCCCCATGGCCAAGAAGGCAACTACAGTCAAGGAGGCTACTTTTGTGGTTACAACCCTCTCTCAACTTTATAACTCCGAGACAAGGCTGCTGCGCGATAAAACTAATTGAGCACAATATTACGAGGGGTGTGTTGGGGATCGAACTTGGAACTTCTTGCTTATAAGGCGAGTGTTCTACCACTACACCACTACCGCTTTATTTTATTTATTTGGAATTATGTTAGCTCCACCTACGATTAATCCTAATAGATTTTAGTCATATCAGTTATTTCTTGTCCTTCAGTTATTTCTAACTCTTGCAAATGCTTGTTCAAGATAATTTGTAAAGCACTGGTCAGGGCTTTCAACTAATAAAAGTTAAACGCATGGACTACCCTCAATAAAATATAATACATACACTAATTCTTGTTCCAGTGTAGCAGTATCACAACTGCTGTCAATTAAAATGGAATATATTTTAACTTAGTGATATCATCTCTAAAACAATATTTAGCTCTTTAACCTGTAAAAACACCAGCCCCTCGATTAATTGAGTAACTATTACCAAGATCAATGCCGTTTTTTAATTAGCTCCAGCAAATCAGGTAAATCGGAAAAAGGGCATTCTTTTTTTACGCTTTGAATTTCTTCTTCATTGACTCTTATTCTTTTTCAATCATTTCTTGAGCCTATTTTCCAATATGTGTTTGTGTTAATATATTCTTTGTAATCTTCAGCGCTCAATTTGCTCAGATAATTGATGAGATATGCTTCCTTATGTTGTTTACTATTGCAATGACTTGTTACACTGTCTTTCTTAATGGAGTTTCAGGGTGAATCCACAAAATTTTTTTAAGTTTTTAATTGAAATTTAATGAATTTTTTTTTAAGTTTTTAATATGAGATTCATATTGTTTGTAAAGCAAGCAGCATATTCTTAAAATATCATTTAAGATTATTGTAGTTATATTGTTTTCTTAAATTTGACTTTTTTCAGCAACAATATTCAATGCCATTTGTAAAATATAGTAATCGTATCTGCGAATAAAGTAATCACATCTGCAAACGATTTTTTAACTATCTTTTTATCTCTTTTATAAAGTTCACAAGTTGCACCGCAAAGTTTAAATTTTAACTTAATAATTTAACTTTGATTAATTATTTAAATAAATATTAAAAAAAAATTTAACTTTTAGTTTTTAAAAAACATAAGAAACAAAAAACCTAAAAATTTTAAGCTTAGAAAAATTTAAAAATATTTACGATTTTGATTTATAAAAAAATGCCCAATATTGGACATTTTTTGGATTTTTTTGCAATTTTTAATTTTCTGTTAAATAGTTTACAATATGGTTCTTAATTTACTTACATCTTGGGTGGTGGGCTGGTGGATGCTCTCATGGTCTTGCCCCTCACTATGTATCTGCCCTATGTATCACTATATATATCTGAGATATATATCTCTGATATATATAGTGGCCTATGTATCACTATATATATCACTATATATATAGTGATACATAAATATATATCTGCCCTATGTATCACTATATATATCACTATATATATCTCAGATATATATCTGAGATATATATCTCTCAGATATATATCTCAGATATATATCTGAGAGATGTTATGTATAATTAATTAAGTAACGATTAAATGTTTTAACAACTTTTTATCAATTTATTTTTTAAATTATTAAATTGAATTTATTTAAAATAAATGTATATTTAATGTTTCCTCCTTGTTAAAATTATATATCTTTTAAACTATGCTATGTAGCATAAAATCTTCAATTGTTTCTTAAAAAGTATTTATACATAACAGTTTTAACAAACATTTTAATGAAATTAGTTTAAATTAAGATTTATTTTTTAATTTTGGCTAACAATTAAGTTAAATAATAAAATTTTTAATATTTCTTGTTTTCTTCTTTTTGTTTTATCATTCTTTAAGATTTTTTTAAGTTTAATTTTTGAATTTTTTTTTTAAGATTTTGTTCTCTTTTCAGATTAAGGATTGTTTATTTTAATTTAAGTTTGTTTTGTTTTTTCGTTTTTTTTTTTGTCGTATTTTTGTTGCCTTATTTTTAATATTTAGTTTACTTTATCTACTACGCTTTCAATCTAATATATTGGAATTTCTTCCAAGTTTTTAAGCCTTTTCATTTTGCTCAAAATAATTGTAAATTAGAACTTCATTTTGCAAATTAAAGCCATTAAAGTCATTAAAGCTATAATTCCGCAATAGTTTCTTTTACTCTTTAACCCTTTTCTACCATCATAAAAATTGCAGACAATTATTACTAACCGCTACTGACAATAAAAAATAATACCACACTGGAATATTCTGACAGTGTTATAAATTATATGCTTCATAAACAATATTATACATTGTTTTTTTAATATACCTTTTTTTGGTATCATTTTTTGGTATTTTTGGGGGGAGAGAAAAGCTCTTATGGCCCCTAGCCATGACACTGATTAAAAAATATTTTTAAGGAAATGTTTCTTATATATTTATGATAAAAGATTTTTTCCGTTAACTGTTCATGGAAAAAAAAAGTTTAATTATGGAATAAAATATTTTCTTTAAAACATTCTTATATTTTATTACAGAAAAAAATACTAAATCAGCAATCGCAATCTAACCACTCTTTATAAAATTTCATGTTTCTAGTTTATACTTCTCTAAAAATGCACCTTAATTTTAAAATCAACTAATGAAAATTATAATAAAGTTTAAGTTGCCATATCGCTATCAATGTTTTATGAATAATTGTAAACATTTTAGAAGTTGGTAGTGTGATGATATTGGTGGTTTGATGTACCTTTGATGTAGTTGATATTTGATGTACTTTGTTTAACATATTTATATTTCCTTAAACTTTTGTCATATAACATGTATACAAATCCTGCATTTTTTTTTTTTTTCCTGAATTTGTATTTACCTAACAAGGTAAATTCAAATACATCATAAATAAATCATCATGCAGGTAGATAATTTAATAACTTTTAAGATCTTTATGTTTTTTAAATTTAGGTATAAAAGTTTTAGTACAGCCTTCAACACGACGTGCTTATACTATGCTAGAATACGAAAGTGCAGGTGCAACCATACAAGAAGATTTGTCTCCAGCATCTTTAATCATGGCTGTTAAACAAGTGAGTTTTAAATATATAAAAAATAATTTATGCTATGAAAGTCATATAAAGATGACTAAGTTTAAACTCATGGTCAAATTGACCACAGTTGATTGAACTTAACAGTTGATTGCTGTTCTAGTAAAAATCTCACAAAAAAAGTTTTACAAAGACAAAATAAAATTCTTCTAATATGCAAGACTTTTTTTATCTTCAATCCTTATTATTTATTACTATTGAACTGTTACAAATAATAAATTTCAAAAAGATTACTATCTATAGAGTTACTATCTTTATTTTTGTTGTCACATTAATTAAAAAGTTTCTAAAGACCAAATTTTTTTAAACAGTTGCTAAGAAACAGAGTTAAGATTAAGAGTTGTTTTTCTGCTTTTTCAAGAAACTGTATAAAAACTTTGTACAGCAGTTAGTGTGGAAAATATACTAAAATATGTGATAAATAATAAATATATCAAAGTAATTATAATAATTTTTAAATAGATTTTTTTTAATGATTTTTTATTACAAAAGTTTTAACCTGTTTTATTTCAAAAAATTTTATTTCACAGCAAGGCTTCAAACAAACACTATTTAGTTGGGAGTTAACAAAAACCTTAAAAAAGTTAAAAAAAAAGAGTTAAAGATAAAGAAAGTGATTCAGATGACTTAAAAAACTGTAAATTGTGAGTCAGGAAAGCATAAGAGAGAATTCCAAAGCATTGCCTTGCCTCACTACTTCTAGTTTCAAAAAATAACTTTTTTGTTACCATGGTTATGCTTTTAGTCATGGTTGTTGATAACAATTCAGTATTGGAACTATTGAAATTTGTTGAGTAAGTTGTTAGACTCAAGATTTCAGAAATTTGTTAATTGATACTCAAAAAGCCTTGCTAATAATATTAAGAAAACTGTTTTGGCAATAATTAGAGGGGTCTCTAGAACCTTCTGAGATGAAATGATAGATATATTAATCTGAGAATAATGGAGTTTAGTATAGGACACCATTTTGAGTTTTTGTAATATTGTAATACATGTATTCTCTTGTGAAAAGAAGTATAAATAGCAACTGCACTAGAAAGAAAAAAAACCGATAGATTAAGTTTCCAATTAAAATCAACATAAAGGAATAGAAATTCAAAAAAATTGCTTCCATGCCCACTCTAATTTAAAAGATTGTGTAGGAGGCACAATTTAAAAAAAATGAAAGTCAACCAGTGATTAGTAATAATCACAAAAAGAATCACAAGTTGTAAGAAGTAAGATAAAAAGTCAGTGAGTCTGATAAAGAAGATATTTTTTTAAGAAGTTTTAAAAAAACAGAGAAATGAAGCACAAGCTAAGATCAGCGGCAAGATACAAATCATTAAGTCAACTTGTTTCTCTGCGCAGCAGCCTTGTTTGTCAAGGTTCGTGTTTCGGAGTTATAGAGTTGAGAGAGGGTTATAACCATAGGTAGCCTCCTCATCTGTAGTGGCCTTCTCGGCTTTGGGGAAGTGAATTACAAAAAAAATAAAAATAAAAGTAAAGGAAAGTCACAAAAGTCATAAGAAAAATAAATCACAAAATTAAAATATACAAGTAAAAGTATGAGGAGGGAAAGCATCTCGAAAAAAATTTCTCAAAAAATCTTGAGTTTTATCTGACTGAAATGAAAAATCATTTATCTCAAAATAATTAGTCAGAACTATTGAATTAAAAAAATAATTTTAATGAAAAAACAAATATGGTCTTGAAAATCATATAAAGACATTTGTTTTATTTATTATTATTTTAATTTAATTTTTCTAACCAAATTTTGAGAAGATTTCTTGTACAATGATTTCAAAATAAATCACGAATTTTGAGACTTACATAAATCAGAGATACAAGATAAATCATTTTCCAATTTCAAGATAAGGCATGCTACCGATTACGTTACCAATAGCAATAATATTGACTGTTAAATCGAGGGAAAGGGCTCGGTCATAATGATTGAAAATAACATTGCAAATAATGTTGCTTGCAAAGAAGTAGAAGAATAAAGATCAATGAGAAAGGTAATTGATTGAAGAGGTGCTGAATGAAAGCGCATGAAAGAATCTATTCAAAATCAATATTCAATGAATAAATAGGTTCAAAAGGTTTATGCCAAGCATTTAAGAATTTTTGTGAATTTAAAGATAAAAACCATCACCACTGAGAATCAAAGATACAAAAATAGCAAAACTAGTCTTAAAAAAAGCAAGAATTTTGCAAAATTTTAAGAAGATTTAATGGATGAAAAATGAACTTTTAAGACTTCAAATATTTGTAAAAAAATATCAGAAACGGAGCCATATGTTTCAAAAAATTTAGAGCCAGAGCTGGAGTCATACGTTTTTCTTCCAGCTCCATACCCCTGTTTTAAATATATATTCTACTTGGTATACAATAGTTAAGACATATATGACTTAATAATAAATAATCAACTAAATGGAAAAAAACTAAAAATTGCATCTACAAAAAAAATAAAAATCTGCAATCTACATTTCATTAGAGAACTATTTTAAATATTTTATTAATATGAATTTTTATTAAAATGTTGCAAACATGATTGATCAAGACTATGAAGAGCAACGTACTTCATTTACCTTTAATGTTTTTGACATTTTTTTTCTGGCTTTTTTCCTTCTGTTTTCTTCCTTTTTAAGTTTTAAAATTTTTTTTATTTATGTTATTAAATTTGTATCTATATATATTGGCACATGAATACAACATGGCGCATTGTGCGAACATATCAATTATGCTTATTGTGATGCATATTTGTTGTGTTGCAAAATATATGTTTTTTTCCTTTTATTATTATTATTTTCTTCTCATCTTTACTGTATCTTAGAATTAATAAAAAAAATATTTATAAAAGTTATAGTTTTGATAAAACCTTTCTTTTGTTAAAAAATGATTGATATATATATTTTTGCTAAAGTCTTGCCATTATGATATAAGGAGCGGGGGGGGGGGGGGGTGTGTGTGTGTGTGTGTGCATTCACACTTTATTGAACATTGTTTTTCTTTTTTTAGTTTAATAATTTTTAAAATTGATGTTAATTTTTTTTAGGTTCCAATAGATATATTGATTCCATCTAAAAGTTATTCTTTCTTCTCTCATACAATTAAAGCTCAGGAAGGCAACATGCCTCTGTTAGATGCTATGCTAGAAAAGGTAATATTAATTATTTAAGGAATTTCAGTTTTTTTTTTACTCAAACAATTTTTAAAAATAGCTTTTTTATAATTAGAATATTCGAATGATTGATTATGAAAAAATGGTGGACAGCCATGGTAAAAGAGTTGCTGCATTTGGGAAATTTGCGGGAGTTGGTGGTAAATTGCTGTTTTATAATTAGTTTAACAAAAAAAAAAGGAATTTTTTTATTTCTATATGATGTAATATAATTAACTTTAATTAATTTCATTAATATAAAAGAAAACATTTTAAAAAGTTGAATTACAGCAACATAGTTAAATTATTAAGTTATTATAATTAACATGATTAAATTATTTATAATATGTAAGAGCTCTGGTAATCAATCAAAATCCTGAATCATAAAATTCCATGTCTTGGCACAAGTATCTTGATATTATTATATATCATGGCATTATATTATTATTATTACATTTTGAATTTATATCCTGCTCATTTTTTCAGCTATGTTTAGTTTATTATGTTTAGACTTTAAATTTTTTTTTTCGCCTTTATTAATATATATTTTTTTAAACTAAAAAACAGCTGTCACAAAAAAACATCACATTTTCTTTTTCAGGCACTAAACTTTTATCACATTTTGTCATTCAAATATTTTGTTTTAATATTGTTTTAAAAGAAAATTGTTTTTGTTTTATTAAAAGAGGGTTCGAGTTATATCCTCGAATCCTCGAGTTACTTTTACTTCTTCCTCTTCTTCACATCGGATTATCGTTTACTACTGACCTTTCATGGAAACCGTATATAAATGGATTGCTAAATTAGCATCCGATAAAGTTGCTTTTCCTCATCGTGATCGCCATTAAAATTATATTAAAATTATATTGCTTCTTACTCCTGATTCCATTTTCTACAAATCTCTTATTCGTCCCTGCATTGAATACTGTTATCATATTTGGCCTGTTTCCTCTAATGATGCTTTTTCTCTTCTAGACAAGGTCTAAAAATGCATTGTAAATATAGTTAGACCTGCTCTCTCTGCTAAGCTTGACCGTCTTTCTCATCGTTGTAAAGTTGCATCTATTTCTCTTTTCTACAAATACATCATGGGCCATGCTCAAAGGAGCTATCATCTCTAGTTCCATCAACTAAAACTCATTCTAGTTTGATTTGTTATTCAGCTTAGTCTCATTCTTTTACTGTATCTGTCCCTGCATGCTCTAAAAAGTTTTATTCATCTAGTTTTTTTCCCTGCACTTTGACTCTCTCCAGTCTTCATATTTTCCTGACTCATACAACCTTCAACTTTTAAAGTTTTCAGTCAACTGTTTCCTTGCTCTATGACTCTATTCTTTTTTTCTAGTAACTCCCATCTTAATAGTGGTTGCTTACATTGGGAGTGGATCAGAATTTAAAAACAAACAAACAAACATAAAAACAAATAAACAAAAAAAAAAACAAGTTCAAGTTCAAGTGTACATAACTCAAATAAAAAGAAATAAAAATAAAATAAAAATAAAAAACAGATTTTATTATATTCATTTTTAGAAGAGTAAAATAAAAGAATAAATTTTTTTTTATAAGATTATTGTAGTTAAATATCTAAACAAGTTTGTAGAAAGAAAAATAAAAGAAACCAGTTTTAAAAAAATGTCACAAGTATAGCAGTAAAAATGAAATTGTAAATAAATAAAAAATTGTTTAATATATTTTATTTCTATTATGTACATCATAATATTTCATTATGTTCATCAAAATGTTTAAAATCATCTTTCATCATAATGTTTAATTTATTATTATATGTTTAATTTGTTATATATATTCTAAGTATCAAATTAAACTTGGCTATTATGTATACATCATAGTCATCATAGTTTATTTTGGTACTCAAACATTTACTTATTATATATTATATATTAATTTCATTTATAGTAAATTTTAATTTTAAATTAACCCATGCTATAATAGCATTTTTTTAATTATATAACAATATGTTATATTGAATATTTCAGATTGATATTTAAAAAAGATATAATATATAGATAATGCAATTGTATGCAAAAATAAATAAATAAAAATATTTATAGACAAGAAAAAAAATTAATTGGCTTCTATAAGAGCATTAGTTTTAAACTCAAAGTTTGTCATACCTGTTGAAATTACATCATGTAATATAAGTTTCATTTTTATTTACATCATGTGATGCAATGTAAATTTTAATAAAAGTTTGCCTCAAATTTTAAAGAAAACCTTATATTTTATGCAGGTTTTTTTTTTTGCCCTTGTAAACAAGCCCATTACTCCTAAGATTTTTGTTTATATAAATTGCTTTAAAAATCATTATTGCATAAGACCTAATTTTTTTTTGCACAATAGTAAAACTATTTGTCTACATTTAACATATCCATTAATACCCATAATATACCCAAGTTCACTTTATGTTGCTTTTTTCATTAATTTAGTTTATTCAAAATAAAAAATAAAAAAACATACAAAAAAATATTGAAAAAAAGACCCAACTACTTGAGTAAATTTCCAATTTGCTTACTTCTCAACCCAACTGTTTTTCATGATTATTTTAGTAATTTATAATTTAACAATTTCCTATAAAATATTTCTTATGATGACCTGTTTAGTCACATTTAAAGTCTTTATAAATATTTTGATAAGATTTTAAAGTAAGATTCACAGAAAAAATATTTCACGTGTTGAAAAGCAGTAAGCAGAGCAATAAAGTGGCAAATTAAAAAAAATAGCCAGTGTGAAGTTTCGTTCTATGATCATTAGCAGTTATTTATTTTGTCAAGAAAAAGCCAATCCAAGTTTAGTTTTTTGTAAACTTACCAAAATATTCAATGAAAACCGTAAAAAATGTATTTTTTAAAATAAGGTATTGGTGTTTATGCAGCTGTTAGAAAATCCATGTTGACAGCCAAACATCCGCTCACAAAATTACGGTAATGTTAGGAGTGAATTAGAATGGTCTTTAGAAAAGTGAAGAACAGTCTTTAGAAAAGTGAAGCCATTTTCAGTGATTAATGCACTTTTAAAATGAAAAAAGTTCTTGTTAACAGATTCTAAAAATTATAATAGTTGTTTAGTTAAATTTTGGTAAATATGTTTGGTATGTTTGGTAAGTATGTTTAATAAGTATGGGAAACGATTTTAATAAACAACTTGAAAGTATGAATCTAAAGAACAGAAAGTTTTTATAAAATTCTATTGAATCTAGAAAACATTTCTGAAGTTTTTAATTTTTTTTAACATAATTTTAAATTCATTATTGTCTATTTGTAGGAATGATTAACATTTTACATGGGTTAGGCCTTCGGTTGCTTTCTCTTGGTCATCATACACCTTTTATGGTATTCAATTACTTGTGATTATATATTTTCATTTATATATTTTTTTATAATTATTTAAATAAGAATGTCTTCATAATAGAGGTTTTATCTGAAAAACAAGGAATAAATCTTACCTATTGTAATAAGAAATATATTTGCTTTATAAACTTTTTTTCAGTATGTTGGGTCAACACACAATTATAAGAATAGTCGTCAAGCTCGGTTATCTATATATGAACTTGGTGAAAACATTCGAGCTGGGGAGCTTCCAAAACATTTTGGACCTTTAACATTTGTATTCACTGGTTCAGGAAATGTGTCACAGGTATAAATTCAGATGTAAATAGTGTTAACATATATTTGGATAATTTTGTGTGACATTTAAAAGTATATTCAAAAATAAAATTATAAAGTTCGAAATGTTTAAGTTGTAGATAATTGCTTTGGTAAAAACTAAGATAAAAATGAATTTGTTTAATCTATTTCAAAATTCAATGTTGAGGACTTGCAGATTTTTTACATGTTTATATTATGCTACAGTTTTGTTTATAATATTAATTAATATTGCATGCAATGTGTTAATATTACAGGGTTTTTTTTCTAGGGTGCTCAAGAGGTATTTAATGAGCTTCCTCATGTGTATGTTCATCCACACGAATTAAAGGAAGCAATACAAGCTTATGGTATGTTGCTTTAATAGAAGTCTGCACTAATTTTTTTTGCATTATATAATAATATTATTAGTTTTTTAATTTTTTAATGTGGTTTGATGCATTGTTATTAGAAACTTTTTCATTATTTATTGACAAATATCTAATTAAATTTTATTAGGTTTTTCACAGGCCTTGTTAAGAAGTGTTGCACCTTATGTATTTTACCCTGTTTATTTTGCTGAGAATAGTTTCAAATTGATGAATTTCATCCCATTACAAATGTGTTAATGAGTAATGTTTTTTTCTTAATGAAGAATGTTACATTACTTCTAACTAATAAGATACTTTTTCAATAAACACCGGACAAGATAATTTAACGCGCACCACATTTAGCAAAAAATAAAATGCACATGTAACTACAATAATTAGTAATTAATTTCTATAAAAATAATTGATTTCTAAAAAACTAACAACAACTAAAAAATATTATTACCCTAATATTTCTGCACAAGCGCAGAAGTCTAGAGGTTAAATTATCTATATATTTATGTAACTATTTAAGTATTATAAGCAAAGCAGATTTTATAAGTGATTAAATAAAACAACTTTTCTTGTCCATAATTAATAATTTTGTTCTCTGGACATAATATGTATAATAATAATAGTCATAGACATAATAGACAGTCCAGCGTAATAATAGTCATAAACATAATAGACAGTCCAGCGTAAATACAAACACTTTTTTGAAATTCTTTCATAATATGTCTAAACTACCAGCCTATTTTTCACGATCGCTGCAAAGAACTTTGTTCTATGTGTGTATTCTATAAAAGTTTGTTTTGAAAAATACAAACTTTTATAAAAAAAATCATAAAAAAAGAAATTTTATTTTATGTATTAATCATTTTTTTAATTTATGTTAATAAGGGTTTTGAAAGTTTTAAAACTTAAGTTAAAATATATACATATATATATATATATATATATATATATATATATATATATATATATATATATATATATATATATATATATATATATATATATATATATATATATATATATTGCTTTTTTACCTTGCTATTTGTTTAGTATTTGTTTTACCCTTTAAATTTCTTTATTAATTTACTTAAACTTAATTCAATAAAGTTGCCATGTATTATTATTTAACACGCTTAGTATTTATACTAAAATATATCTAAAATACTCTAAATAAATTACTTTGCCACACCCTATAATATTCAGATATATTTAAAAAAACTCAAATATATATTTGTGTAAATGTATTCTTTAAATATCTATAATTAAATAATTTTGTTGAAAATTATTCTTTTTTAAAATCTTCATTACACGGCCAAAATTTTATATTTGTTTAATATTCTCTAATTTTTTTATTATTTATTTTAATATTACCTTTATATATTATAAATATAATATATTAAATGTTAAATATTAAATTTAATTATTCATTGCTCTATTACTTATAAGTATTTGATATATTTTTTTAGATTTTAATTTTGATCTTATATTTTTTTAAGATCATAAAACAATAATTGCAACCAAAGTGAGTCGTCGTCATTATTTAGTACCAAAAGATGGTGGAGAATATAATGCAGAAGAATTCCATTCCCACCCAGAGCGGTACAGATCAATATTTGCAGAAAAGGTATACATGTACGTGATTCTAAAAGATTTATATTTTGTCTTTTTTTAACAAGGTAGCAAGATAACACTTAACATGCTTTGAGTCACTACAAGTTATGAAATATGGCATGTTTATTGTTCATGGAAAATTAATTGAGGAATACTAAAAGTGTTTTTAAATCTTTATTAAGTTTTTTAAAGGCCTTGTTAAGAAGTGTTGCGCTTTATGTATTTTGCCTACGAAATGGCAATTATACTTAATTAAAGTATTAAGATTAAGTTTATTAAATTGTTTGTGGAAAAAATTGATTATGGAATGCAGAAAGTCTTTTTAACTGTGTTTTGAGTTGTTTGAAACGAACTGCAACAATTAAAAAGTATTGTTTGTATAGTTCATAAGTAAATCTTAAGAAATGTAGTGGTTTATAAAGTGTTCTTTAAGCATAGGTTCATAAAAAATGTATTTGTTTACAAGGTGTTCATAAGCAGCATGTTTGCAAGGTGTTTTTAAACCATGGGTTAACAAAAGAAATTTACAAAAGAAGTTTTTGGTTTTAAGCTTAGAAAATATAATTTCATTGAAACTCTAACGAAAAGATATATAATTGATTATAAGTTTTATCATCTTAAATAAGCTACTAAACTATCAGGAGTAAAAATAAAAACAAAAGTACTGTGAGTCTGAAGCAGTTTCAAAAATCTCTATATATTATAAACAATAATAACAGCATAAGGTAATCATTATAGATTAAAGAAAAGTTATACTCATGTTTAGTGTGATATGTTGCATTGCAGAACATCAAAGATAATGATAAGGTAGATGCGTGGTGTAATATTTTTTTATCAATTCACATCCCAAGGCTCCAGAGGCAAATTACTATAGTTTAGAAGGCTTTTTTTTTATGTTTTTTTATTTGCAACTCTGGACCCTAAACTCCACTGAATTTAAATTGTGAGTGTTAATTGTAAGCCAGGTACCACAAATCTACTATTATCTGGTGCATCAAGGATGATAAAATTGTTTTGGATTGTTAAAGATGCAGATGATTGGGTATTGAGTTTATATTTATAGAGTTAAGTGTTTTAAGAAAATATGGTAAAGGTACAAAAACTTATAAAAGATTACAGATTACATTAACAGCTTAGTTTAAAGAGGGTCCTCAGCATAATGGCATCATGAGAAATATTTAAAATGTGCAAATGGAAAAACATGGTATTATGCAACATCATATTTAAATGATGTTGCATAAGGGGTTGTCCATAAATTAAGTCACGCAGTTTTTAATTGTTTTTAACCCCCTCTCTCCCCCTCATCACAACATCATAACACTTAAGTAACAAGTCCCGCATTAGTCCCCCCCCCCCCTTTAAGCATGGCATTATTTATGGACAACCCCTAAGAAGAAATGTATTTTTTATTTTAGATAAATAATAGAAATTTGTATATTTTTTCATATATTAGAAAGTTATTTTACATTTAAGGAATATATTAAAAATTCATATATATATATATATATATATATATATATATATATATATATATATATATATATATATATATATATATATATATATATATATATATGATTTGAATGTTGAAATCCTGTATGAGAGTATATATGTTAAAAATATAAAAACATCAATTAGTACGAGTTCTCTCAATACTATTGTTAATTTTATTAGAAAATTAACTTACTAAAGTGTATTTTTATAAGCATTTGCTCACTTTTGCTTACCTTAATCCATACAGTTTTTTCAGAAAAAGAAGAAAAAAAAACGAAGAATGATGAATGAAACAATTGCTGCCCCATCCCAAACCCTCAGTCGATGTAGCAGCACTCCACTGCTAGTCAGGCTATTTGTCAGACGATTTATGTACTGAAGCCCCCGGCAGCAGGCTCAGTATGATGTCAGATTGCTTACCTTAGTACGCAATACTATTTGAACATATATATATATATATATATATATATATATATATATATATATATATATATATATATATATATATATATATATGTATATGTATATGTATATGTTAAAAATATAAAAACATCAATTAATATGAGCTCTCTCAATACTATTGTTAATTTTATTAGAAAATTAACAATAGTATTGGAAGAACTTTTATTAATTGATGTTTTCATATTTTTTCAGGTCGACGTTGCCAAATGCCGACATTAAATCTGAGGGCCCCTCTTAACTCTATAATTCCAAAATACAAACCTTGACACAGTATTGCCAGGGTCGTGGTGACGATTTAACTTGGAACTATTCACATATGAGGCAGATACTCTACCACTACACCAAATTTCATTATATTTTATGTAGAAATTTAGTTTTTTATTTAATTACTAAAAATAGAAGTTTATATAAATTTTATTACATAAATAAGAAAGTGTTTTTTTTCTCAAAAATAATTCATGTTATATCTATTAATAATATAAATTTTATTTATAATATAGATAAAATTTCTATTATAAATTAAATTTCTATTATCAGTAAAGAATCTATATAATTATGATAATTGTTATAATATTCTATTTCATATGTAGAAAATGCATAGACTTGCATTCAGTCATTTGTATTTCACTCATTTATCATACTAAATGTATTATGCAAGATCTCCTGTTTCATGTAGACCTAAATCAACTGTTTCATGTAGACTTAGTCCCCTGTGTCATGCACTTTAATCCAAAGTATAGTTCATTTATATGTATGTATGTAAAATAATTCTGTGATAAGTAGAGGCAAGTGTAGATGCATATAGTAAGAGAACACTGTTTGTCTATTTATTTACGCTTGCTTTCATTTATTGGGACATAGATTGGGCTGCTTCTTTAAACACATGGATATGTTCTTTGTATGAAATAAATTACACCATTTTTTTTTAAAATCAAGTTAACAAGATGACTTTAAATTAAATAAATGATTTAAATTTTTTTTTAAATATTTGTAATATTTAGATTGCACCTTATGCATCAGTTATAATAAATGGAGTATATTGGGCACCACGCAATCCACGTTTGCTTACTAAAGCTGATGGAATATCACTTCTTCAGATCAATCACAGAGCAAATAAGTACAGTGGTTGTCCAGAACTTCCTCATAGATTGTTAGCCATATGTGACATTTCTGCTGATCTCGGAGTAAGTTACATGTATTAAATGAATTTTCTAGCATTTATTAAATGAATTTTTTAAAAGTAAAAAAACAAATTTCTGATTTATTAATTATTAAAATTATAAAAAGTAAAAAATTGTAAAAATAATAATAATTTTAATTTAAGATAATAATGTGTCAGACATTTTTTTAATGTTGCTTTCAATATAAATTTTTATGCAACTGCAATTGTTCTTTTTTGTAATCTTTTGTAACAATGTTTTTTTTATTACACAACTTTAATACCACTGAAAAATTTTTTTTTAATGACCAAGGGCCATGTTACATATTTTTGAAACTGTCTTTAAAAAAAAAAAAGTTACTTAAATCTGTTTAAAACACAGTAATTTTTGCAATTTTTTAAATATTGCTTATAATTTTGTTAATATAGATTGACTTTATTATTTTTGTTGTTATTAAACTGCTTTAAAGCTAATTTTTTTGTTGTTATTAAATTTGTTATTTTTTTGTTGTTATTAATTTTTTTTTTTTTTTTTTTTTTTGTTATTAAATTTGTTGTTATTTTTTTGTTGTTATTAAATTTGTTGTTATTGTTTGTTGTTATTAAATTTGTTATTTTTTTGTTGTTATTAAATTTGTTGTTATTTTTTGTTGTTATTAAATTTGTTGTTATTTTTTTGTTGTTATTAAATTTGTTGTTATTTTTTTGTTGTTATTTTTTTGTTGTTATCAAACTGTTTTGAAGCTAATTTAAAGCTAATTTACTTTAAAACAAAAATTTATAGTAAACTGTTTTAACATTTTATTTTTTTCTATTTTAAGTTAAGATTTTTAATTTTCTGCCATAAAAACAATTTTCTTAGTTTTCACAAAAGTTGCTTCTGCTTTTTAAATTTTGGTCATTTTTTTGAAACTGTGTGATTTTATTTGTAGCCTAATATCTAAAAGTAATAGTGAATTTCTTCAATTTTATTAAGGGTTCATTAGAGTTCATGAAAGAGTGCACTACTATTGAATACCCATTCTCTTTATATAATCCTGTGAAAGATACTTCTGAAATCGGGTAATTTAGTATTTTATTCTGAGTGTTTGTGTTACTTATTATTTTATGAGTTTTTAAATTTATTTTTTCAAGTGACTGCATGAATTCTATCTTGTAAATAGTTTTGTAGAGAATGTGTGAATAGATGTGCAATGTTGATTGTGCGAAAAGATTATGTACGATGTTGAATGTGCGAAAAGGTTATGTAAGATGCTGAATGTGCAAATAGTTTATGTATGATGATGAGTTGTGGACTTTATAGTTAAATAATATTGAAGAATTTTTTTTAGTTTAATTTATTTATTTTTTAAAGTTTAACAAAAAAGTTAAACTTTGATTGAAATAAAATGCACATAGTGTGTATATATATATATGTCTATATATATATATATATATATATATATATATATATATATATATATATATATATATATATATATATATATATATATATATATATATATATATATCGCGCTTTCATATATACATACACAGGCCTTCTTGTAAGAGGCGTGCGATCGCTTCTTTGTTTTAACAACTTGACCACGGCTCATTGCAAGTTTTGATATTAGCACATTTAAAAATTGCGCTAAAAAAAAACAAAGCAAATTATAATAAACAATACATAAACTGAAAAGAGAATAAAATCCTTAAAATAATATATAACTAAAATTAACCTAAAAAAGTAAAATATTTAAAGAATGATAAAATAAATAAAGGAAAAACCAGAAAAAAAATCAAAACACATATTAATTAATTTAAACTTAACTGGAAGCAAAGTTGAAAAAATCACAGCTCTAATAATCTTTATCAATCCTTCCCATGAATAAATAGGCTAATACAAGGGTGGATCCATAGTGAGGTAAAGGGTAATGAAATTTAATGAAATTTTGTGGTGCAAATTTAAAATTTCATCAAAAAGTTAATAGGATACAGGGTGCAACAAATCAACAAATGTGCGCGCATTTTTTTAAGACAGACAGAAAAACAAACATCGCGCTTCTTTAATTTTGCTTATGCAAAATTAAAGTTGCCATTTGATTAAGGTTTTTCAAAACAAACGCAATACTTCAGCAATTTTTTCAAAATAATTTTGCGATCAATAGTTTTTTATTTATTACAAAAAACATATATTTAAAATGAAAAAAAAATTAGACTTTTTTTAAAAAATGCCAAAACATAATTACTTTTTTCAATTGCGTCACTTTTAAGTAAAATAATAAAAAAAAAGTAGTTATATTTTAGCATGGTTTTTGCATGTGCTCACAAAAATATGATAATTTTACTTAAAATAGATGCTTTTGCAAAAACTTCAAAAGAAACCGTCCTTAAACAATTTGATTGATTTCTTTTATTGAAGAAAGCGATCGTAATGTTTAAGCTTGGTTTCTTTTCTGCTTTTAGCAATTACATTAAAAGTTTAAAGCAAATGATTTCATTATAAATAAAATTGCGCATGCTTTTTTTTTTTAATTTCTTATTTTCCATAAACTGAAATAATGTTTGTTTGCATTTATTGTGCGTTTATCATTAATTTGCACACGCTTTGCAAATGTGTAAAAAAAGTTTTCGAAAAATAGCAATTGAATAAATTTACCAAGCATCTTTGATATATTTGATAACTTATTAACTAGAATAAAAATTATTTGAAATTTGTTTGACATAAATCTCTTTAATTAGATGTTCGTCAATAAATAAAGATACGCAAGTCAACCTTCATAAAAAAAAACAGTACGCCACGCCCTGGGATAAAAAATAGTTGGCAAATCTGACTATTTCTAGATTATTGTAATTCTACTTTTTTAGTAAATAATTTCTTTATTAGAAATTATAGTTCCATGATAAATAGGTTTGTAAATAATTTTTTGATAGCTTCTGTATACATTTTGCCTTAATCGTTGCCTTCAACGATTGTTTTTATTAAGTTGCATTAAAGTACTCAGGAAATTTTGTGGCAGTTTGTAATTATGGAATCAATTAAATTAAAAATTACATTAGCTTTGTTTTCTTTAAGCGCATTTTTAAACGCGCTAATTATCGAATTATCTTGCAAAGAGCCTTGGTCAAGTTGTTAAAACAAAGAACTATATGTGTGGTCATATAAAGTGTCTGATCACACGCCTCTTACGAGAAGGTCTGCATACATACATACATCATTAGTATTTAGAATTTAGGTGAGCAGTGTGACATGTATTGTTTTAAAATTTTTTTAAAAAATTAAAAAAATTTCACAAACATTTTTGTATTTTGAAGTGTTGCGGGTGATGGTCTTTTGTATTGCTCTATTGATAATATACCTGCACAGCTGCCAAGAGAAGCTACTGATTATTTCGGTAAGCTACTTGTCCCATGGATTCCAGAAATGGTAATTTTTATTTAGTTTTTATTAAGTTTATTTTTCATTTTTAATCTTTCAACTTGTAGATCTACTCTTCGTGTTTCAATAATTTTTAGGCAGCAGGAGATGCTACAAAACCTTTTCAAAGTGAAACTTGCTACTCCAATGTTGTTAAAGGGGTGATTAATTTTTTTGCTAGTAATTATTTAAGTTTTTAAATGTCATTTTATTATATTTATACATTATAAATGTATAAATATAATAATATTATTTTATTATATATATTATATACTTTTATTATTTTATTATATATATTATATACTTTTATTATTTTATTATATATATTATATACTTTTATTATATTTATGTGTTGAATCTACTGATCCCTACTGAATCTCTGTAGATTTTTAATGACCTCTAAATTTTCACATTTCAAATCCTGGTTTGATAATTATTTGATTTTTTTCTAAATATTTTTGTCATTTAATGTTCAAGATTGTGTCAAAATAAAGTTTTTACTAAAAATGTTTAGACAATAATTATTAAACTGTTTTTTTTTTTTAATTTTATATACAATTTTGAGACCAAAATTCAAGTTAAAATGAAAATACAAGTTAAGACTTCCTTGAGAGTCCTTAAAGGGATCCCAAACTCCCAACACATGTTGTGTTCATATTAAAGATAATGTTAAAAAAAAAGGTTTGAACCAAATTTTTTTGATTAAAAATAAATAATGAATGCATACCGTGAAAAACAAATGTTGTTGTTTTTGCCGAAGCTCGTCTTCTCCATTTTTTTCAACTAATCGGAGTCTTCAAATTATGCGTCGCAATCTACAGACTTTAGCAATTCCTTTGAAGCGCGTTTAATTCATAAAAGTTTTAGTATTTGACGTCACGGTAGACTTTTAATAAATTAAACTCTAGAAATATTTTTATTTATTTTTAGTCGAAGTTTTTTTGATTATTTGTTTAGTTTTTTTTTTTTTTCCCCTACTTTTAATATTTAAAAAGATATTAAAAACCTTAAATATTTTATGCTGATTCGTTGCTATAAATTGTTATTGCGCCATATATTTAATGTTTATAAATTATGAATATTTATTATCTCAAAAATTGTTTTACATTAATTACCCGTATAAAATTAGTAACAGCTTTTTTATTTGGTTAGACGATATTTCGTTTCAATTTGCTTTGCATGAAGTTCGGAAAGTCAAACGAAAAAAATTAGTTTGAATAATCACGTAAATCAATATATATTTAAAACAAATTATTTTAATGACGGGGGTTCTAAAGTTTTTTATAACAAATGCAGGTAAAAAAATAAATAACTAAATAAAAAGTTCAGTATTAAACACCATTTCTTTATTCTATTGCAACTGTAAATATTGAATTATTAACTTGAACTAAATTTACTTATTATTTAGAACGACTAAGCAATAAAAATAAAATGCCCCTAAAATTATGCAATATGGTGTTGTTTATTTGATAATTGTTGTTGGTAATGTTGTTTACGTTGATTATTTTCATTATTATCAAAATAGTCCCAGATTAATCTCTTAGTTGCTTTGCTCATTGTTGATTTGTTTCTAATTTAATTTTATCTCAAACTATAATTACATGTTAAAAGAGAAAAGTTTTTATTTCATCGGGCGCTCTTTTTATAAAAGAGTAGAACAAAAGAGAAAGAAAAGTTTTGCGCAATTAAACTTTGAATGAGTAAGAGTTGTATAGAATATATTTTTTTTTTTGCTTCACTCATTCTTTTTTTAGATAAGAGAAATAAAAGTTTAATTGTAACTTTTCTTTGAATAAATGAGAATTGGAAGAGAAAATTGCTTGAAAATTTGTATTTGTTAATTGTGTTTTTAAAAATTTTTAATTTTTCATGTTAAGAGATAAATGCCAATTACGACACAAATTTGGAAATACCAAATATAATATGTTTTTTAATTCGCGTTATGACATTTTAACAATTTAAATTACCATCTATCTTGAATTATTGCCTTTAATTAATGTGTTAATTATTGCGTTATTTAATAATAATTTGTCCGTATTTTTGTTAAATATTAGTTGTATAAAATGGGCGAAAATATACAAACTTTATGTTTTTTATTTGATGGTTATAAAATATTGAACAGTAAACTTATAATCAAAATTTCTAATGCCGACTTGTGTTGCAATTAATTGTACTTTTAATGCAAAATCAGGATCTCACAAATTCTTTCACGAATTTTCATATCTGATACTACTGTTAACTGTATTGTTTAGTGTATTCTTGCACTTTTTTTTCATAATCTTAACAGGTTCTAATTGGTATAGAGTTGCTGACACTTTAAAAATTTCATTATCAAAAATCAAATGTAAAATAAAATGGTATTTCCTTTTTATCCGTATCCAATTGAGCAAATTTAGCAATTTAAATTAAATCAGCGTGATCAAAAAAATTTTATAATAAAAAAAGTTAACAATTCATTAAATATCTCTAATTAATACTGTCAGTTTATGAAAGTAGTTGTTAATAAATACTTTTTTTCGACGGGAAATCAAAAAATTGTCATAGCGTTAAAATAACCAGAGAAGTTAGAAAATAGTTCCCTTTGTTTAAATAAAAATAATTAAGAACCAGAATATATAATACTGCGCTCTCTTGCGCAAAAACAAGAGACTGTATATAAAACGTTCTATATAAAGTAAAATACTCGTATGAAAATCATGTGATTGGTAAGTAAAGCTTTAATATTTGTTTTAATTAAAATAGTTAAAGAAATATAAGTAAGATATATAAGTCTAAAAATTATTAAGATATCTGTAAAAAATAAGTTGCTCCTATAAAATAAAAATAATTTATTGTTTTTACTTTTTACAAAATTTTTTTTGCGATGTTTGGAAAAATAATACAAATAAATTTGTTTTGCTGTATGTTAAAAAAATACTACAGTAGAAAAACGCAGCTTAGTTTAATTACACTTTTCTTTTGTTAAAAGTCTACCGTGACGTCAAATACTAAAACTTTTATGAATTAAACGCGCTTCAAAGGAATTGCTAAAGTCTGTAGATTGCGACGCATAATTTGAAGACTCCGATTAGTTGAAAAAAATGGAGAAGACGAGCTTCGGCAAAAACAACAACATTTGTTTTTCACGGTATGCATTCATTATTTATTTTTAATCAAAAAAATTTGGTTCAACCCTTTTTTTTTAACATTATCTTTAATATGAACACAACATGTGTTGGGAGTTTGGGATCCCTTTAACAAGTTTCTTGATAATAACAAACTTGTTAACTTTGTCCAAGACTATATTATGAAAGTTAAAGTTTTTTGACAAGTTTTGGTTCTATTTAAGCACAAAATCTTTTAAAACTCTAACTTTTTTTTTAACAACTCTCAAGAGGTTATGAAGTAGCATTTTAAAAAAGCTGTTAATTTAGGCTTTTTATGCCTAAAAATAGCCTTTTTGTCTGAAAATACCCTTGTATTGTCTCTAATGTTTAGGTAATAATATGTGTTCAATACTTAACATTCTTAACATTTTCAATTAAATATTTTGGTTTTGATGTAGGCTGTTATTTGCTCAAATGGAACTTTAACAGAAAAGTATAAATATATTGCAGATTTACGTGCTAAGTAGGTTATCCTTTTTTCTTGTTTTATTTTTTGAAATGTCATAATTTTTAAATATTGATGAAAGTAAATGTTTATAAAGGAAAGAAGCTGCTAAAGCAGCCAGTCTTCTTGGAACATCAGCTGACTTTATTAAAAAAAGAGTGTTGGTACTTGGGGCTGGACATGTAGCAGGTCCATTAGTTGAATATCTTAGTCGTGATGGATCTGTCCATCTTACTGCTGGTTAGTCTTTTTTAATACTGTTCAATTCAAATTTACTTTTTTTTATCTTTTTTTTTTTTTTTCCTTTTTTTTATTCTTTCTTTCCTTTTATTTATTGGTTCTTGTTGGTTCTTTTTTTTTTTTTTTTTTTTTTGTTTTATTATTTTCTTGTTTTTTTCTTACTTCTGTCTTTTCTTGCACATTAATTTCACTACTTTTTTCTATTTTTTTTTTTTTTATTGTTTGATAACAGGCCAACAAAAAAAAAATTATTTTTTCTGGTGCCAAGCAAATAATGAGTTTTTTTAATAGTATTTCTCATTTTGATTTCAAATATGCAACTCATTTTTCACCATCACGTCAAGTTATTAAGATATTTGAGTTCAAATCATTATTATTTGGGGTAAAGTCCCTAATATTGTTGAAAAAAAAGTTATTCAAAAGTATGTCAACCTGGGTCTCAAAAGAAGCGTATTTTCATAGAGATTATAAAAATGTTATTCGTTTGTAATAAAAATAAGTACTTTTTGTATTATTGTAAAAAAACATTTGATAAAATTTTTTCAAGAGTCTTTAGCGTTTTTTCACATAATTTTTTTGCCAATGAGGTTTAAGAATTATGTTTTCCAAAATTTCTATGAAAATACGCTTCTTTTGAGACCCAGCTTGATATACTTTTGAATAACTTTTTTTTCAACAAAATTTGGGAAATTACCCCAAATATAAAAGATTTGAACCCAAATATCTTTACAACTTGGCGTGATGGTGAAAAATGAGTTGCATATTTGAAATCAAAATGAGAAATACTATTAAAAAAAAACGAATTGTTTGCTCGGCACAAGAAAAAAATTTTGTTGTTGTTGGCCTGTGTAATTTGTAATGTTTTAACAATAATAAATACCATGCCTTATATGACCCTGTTTGTTATACCCCAAATTTTATTAAACATTTTTTCAAAAAAAGTCTAAAATTGACACACCCTAATATATATATATATATATATATATATTAAACATCTTTGCTTCTAACAAGGCTGCAAGCAACCACTAATTAAGTTACTGGAAAAGAAAAGATGAAGTTAGTAGAGAAAGATAACATTTGTGTGCTTAGACCACATTTTGTTTTTAATCTTTTAAGCGCTTAAAAAAGCGTAGTGTTGGAGTGCTTGCGTCATAAGCGAGAGATTCCAAGTTGGAACCCCACTGCATCCCTGGTAATACCGCGCTCAACTTGTTTCTCTGCGCAGCAGCCTTGTTTGTCAAGGTTCGTGTTTCGGAGTTATAGAGTTGAGAGAGGGTATAACTACAATTAAGAAGCCTCCTCATCTGTAGTGGCCTTCTTAGTCTTGGGGAGATGAATTAACACGCACACACACAAAATTAATTAAGAAAAGAAATAAAAACTAAATAAAATTACAAAACTAAACTAAAAGCAAAAAAATTCTTAACAAATGATAAAATAAATAAAAGAAAGACCAAACAAAATAAAAACATTGAATTAATGTCTTTATTTTAATTTAAAAGTGTTTCACTTCATAGAATTTAGAAAGGATTGAAGTTTTAAAGTTATTTTATCCAAACTTAATTACTTAAAAACTTAATTATTTAAAAAATTAAAACTTTTATATTTTCTAATGTCAACTGAGAAAATAAATTGCAAAAAAATTATCAGTTAATAGGATTTGAGCCCTCATCTACTGCTTAACAATCAGTCGAGCTTCATATATATTACAATTAATCAACCTAAGCGCAACTCTAACACAGTGTCATAAAAAAGTTCTTAACTTTAAACTATTGAGATGCTTTTAAATTAAATTAGTTAAAAGTTTAAACTATTAATTGAGACATTCCAAAATTGAAAAATATTTTTTTTTTATGTGTAATTTTCTTTGGTTTTTTATTTATTTATTTTATCATTTCTTATGCTCATCTCTCTTTTCAGTTAATTATTTGTTTATTTTTAATTTTAATTTTGTGGTCATATAAGTTGTGCGGCCGCATGCTTTTTCCTGAGAAGTAATGTATAATTGATAATATTGTTAACATCAAATAAATTTTACATTTGAACAAAAAATTACATTACAAAATATTTATCAATTTTTTTCTTCAGTTTCTTCAGTTAATGATGAAGCAGAGTATCTGGCACAGAAATATAAAAATACAGTTCCTGTTGTCATGGATGTTACTAAATCAAAGGAACGTCTTCGAGGTCTTATAAATCAGAGTGATCTTGTAGTTAGGTATGTTATTATTATGTTTTTTAACTGTTTTTAAATCTATTATAAATAGTGGTAGTGGTCTAGTGGTAGAGTTGCTTTGTAAACAAAATCTACATTCTACGCATCTCTGCAAAATTGTGCAGCATTGTGCTTTATTTTTATTCTGTACACAATGTTTTTTTTTACAACAAAATATATAGCCCTGGAAATTAGGATTGGCATTTGGCAATGCCAACCTAAAAGTGTTTTAGGTCGAAAAAAATTGTTGACTTTGTTTTTATGTTATAACCCTTTTGTATCAAAATATTTTTGCCGACAGTTGCCAACCTCATTTTAGGTAAAATGAGGTTGCCAATTAAATATATATATATATATATATATATATATATATATATATATATATATATATATATATATATATATATATATATATATATATATATATATATATATTAGTAGAAATCACTTATAAATTTTTGTTATTTTACAATGTTTTGTCATATTTCACAAATCTGCATTTAAATATCAATTCTGATGTGAAATATTTTAAATTTTTCTTGTTGACATACTAAACATCTTTTGGAAATATTCTTACATACTGGAGCTGTTATAAGAATGAACCAATTCACTACAAAATCATTATTTTTTTATCTTTTAATTCCCATATGTATTTTGATTTGTTTTGAACAATTTTTAGTTAATGTTTTTTTTCATTCACCCTCTGTTAAATCAATATATTGTTTTTCAGGTATTATATATATTGTTTATCAAGTATTGTATATCAGGGATTATCAGGTACATTCTTAAAAGTAAAAACATATTTATATACCACCTTTTTTGAAAAAGATTAACCACTCATTCGGCAATTGTTTTTTTGTTTACTTTTACAATTTTCCGTTATTTTTCTATTAAAAATTTCATTTTTGTACAGCAAGGTGTTGTTGTGGTCTTTTATAATTCTTTCTATATTTTTTGTGCAATTATAGCGAGGTGTTATTCCATTGTATATCATTGCATCATGGTTTTTATTTCTCTAGAAATAAAGAATTTTTTTCTTCTCCTTTCTTGAGAATTCTTGAGAATATATAATATGACATATTAGTGCAAATATCTTGAATAATTGGTACAAAATGTATATAAATAAACTTGGAAAATAATATAAGGCAAGAAATTATCAATATAAACGAATTGAAATTATTTATTCTGAAATTATTATTAATTGATATTATTTATTCAAAAACAGTTGTTAAATTGGTTACATAATGGAAAAAGAAAAAAAAATTGAAAAATGATAACCATTAACTAACCAAAACATTAAATAAGAAACACTTTAAACATTACTTAAATGAGAACTCACAAACTAAAGATTAGATAAAAGAACAAAAAAAAAATAGTTTATAATTAAAATTTTATTTTTAAAAATTTTTCTGTTTTTAAAAGGAATTTTAGAAAACATAGGAATATTTAACTTGATAGCCTATTTCTTTTCTCTATAACAATATTAGTGATGTACCTGTTTCTCTGTAAAAATATTAGACGGGTACCCAGTTCGGACTCGGTAGTTCGGCTGTTTTCTGGGTACTTGGAATCAGCCCTTTTTTTTTACATTAGTGCATATAAGCAATTATTTAGCAATAAATTACAAAAAATATAAATTATTTATAATACCGCAATTATAAAACAAAAATCAGTTAGCCATAACAGTATTTTTTGAAGTTGATAGTGTTAATTTTAAAGCTCTTTTGATAATTTTGGAGTTAGCGACGTAAGACAGCAAGTTAGGGATCTTCCATAAAGTATGTACACTCGAATGCGGGAAAGGAGTCTACAAATGGTGCATCGTCCGATAGCTTACAATATTGTTTAAGTCAAAAATTGATGGAGCTGCTCATTGCGCATCTAACCACTGGTCACATGATATAGATTTCAGCAAAATCTGCTGAAGTTTATATCAATTTCATTTATTTCATTATTGGGAACAGATTTAAAAAAAGAAGTGAGAACATCTTTGCCATCAGAGCTTAGATTTTGTAAAAATTTATATATACAATAAATACAATATTATCTTTTCTGATATTGAACTCTTCTTTTATTTTCTGTTAAAATACTTGACATTTTAGAATCAACTTCCTTTAACTTCGCAAATAAAAATGTTGAAGACCCTTCTACAATTAATAGTGTGAAATCTTTTCAGCTTAAATAACAGTTTATCTAACGGGTTCTAGAACAATGTTTCTGTGATATTGACATTGTAATCCTTCCATAGATATTCTAAATATCCTGCACTCATAACAGCTACAATATCATTGGCTGTTTGATGAAATTTTTCTTCTGATATTTCTAGCATCTTTTCTGCTGTACAACTACCTTCAATATATATTAAACCCAGATTGTCGGAATTTAAAATCTTTACATACAAATGAACAACTATGAATCTTTTTTTTTTAATACTGGTCCATTCATCAATAGACTGACTAAATTTTTTTCATTTCCTCTTAAATTTTTTAAATATTTTTTACAAGCTCCTTAATATAAAAAAATCCATCATTCATTGTTAAACTTTACTGGGATTTTGTGGTAGCTTGAATTCTCTTGCAGCCATGTTGTATAAACTTTTACCTATCTGATTTAAAGAGCATCTATCTACAGCTGCCATTTTAGACATTAATTTCTTCAGAGTTGCTTGTTTAACAAATGTTAAAGTTGTTTACAATATTATTCGCCAAAATATTTACAAAATTTATTCGCCAAAATATTTACAATATTTATTTGCCAAATATTTACAATATTTACAATAAGTACAATATTTACATTAAATATTTTAAATAGTATTTTTGATTTTCCTTTTTAATATTTGCATTTTCTTTTTAACATTCGATCTTTTATTTCCTTGAGAAATATCAATTAATTTCTTGAGAAATAATTTCTCAGGAAAGAAGAAACACTATGTTTATCCACCATTTTAAAAAACACTTTTCATACGTTAATGGAAATGTTTCTGCTATATGTCCAAGTTATGTTTCTAGTTCTTTTTCGCTTTTTGTGTTGTTTTTTTAGGGTGGATTTTTAGTCTAAAATTTATATTTCGTATTTTATATGAGTTAATTTTTAGTCTGAAATTTTAAAACCAACAAATAAAAATAACTTTCTCTAGAAAATCTATAAAAGCAAGTAAAAAAAAAAAAAAAATATTTATAAAAAACCCCATTATGAAAAAAATTTTAAACAACTAAAAAACAAAAAATGTGTCAACATATTCTACAAATATGTGAAATTCGGCTGATGTGTGAAATATTTTTAAAAATTTAATTAAATTAAGTCAAAACTTTTTTAACTTAATTTAATTAAATTTTTGATATAATTAGAAGTTTATTAGTTATAGCATGAAAAGTTCTGTAAAAAGTCTTGGTTGATGAAATGCTGTATTAAATAAAAAAAATTTGATAAGTTATTTCTATTTAATTAATATTGACCACTCTATTTTGTAAAATACATTCAAAATTATATATGTATATATATACATATATATGTATGTTTGTATATACATAAACACATATACTGCTAGATACAAAATAAAGTCAATGCTGTTGAAGTTGCTATTTTAAGTCTACTTTTTTTCTTTTTCTTTTTAAATCAAATTGCATAATTAGGATAAATTATGTGTTATATTTTCAATTTAGCAGTTTCTATAAAAAGTTCAATCATACTTAGTCAATTTTCGCATTGAATTTACAACTGTTCTCTTAAATTTAAAAGTATAAATTTTTTTAGAAGTTATAATCAGAATGCTTAAAATGTTGACTTTTATATAGTATCTTATATAGCCAGAGATATTGGACGTTCAAATTGAGGAAAAATTTATCGATTTAGTAAATAGACAATTTATTTTTAATAATTATAATAAACTAAAAAAACAAAAACAAAATTTAAGGGTTTAAGTTTATTTCCCACTAATTTTGCTTGATAAACTTTCTAACTTCATTTTTAAGTTTAGTTCTTACAGTTTTTTAAAGTAAACCAATTCCACTGACAGCAATAAATTCTGCAATAAATTGCACTTTAAAATAAGTGATGATATTTTATTTAGATACGCAGAGTAACAACAACAGCATTTTAAAATAGATGAACACATTTTAAGTTGGATACACAAGGTACCCAACTTAATACCCAGGGTTGGTTAGCACATGGAGAAATAAAACAAGATAACATTGCAATACCCTCTTGGGTAACTTTGTAGTTACCTTCCAGGTTTAAAAGCAAAATAATTTCTTTCAAATTAAAATGGTTGGTTTTTAAAAAACTGTGACAAGGCACTGAGAACTTTCTGATTTACTGTAATAATATTTTGTGTCTAACTAGTTTGCCACCAACCTTGAAAATAAATTGTAATAAGTAATTTATTTAATAATATGTAATTCAGTCAACTTACCAGGTCAATTTGTGTCAATTTTCTTTAGAGAATTTTTCAAGCAAAATTTTTTCCATTTTAAGAGTCCCAATGTGATTGAGTCTGTCCTTTAAATCTTTTTTGTAAATAAAATGTTTGTATTTTAATATAACATATTAAAAGCATTATAAAAATTATTTAAAAAAAACAAGAATTTTTATTCCATAAACAATTTAAATCCAAAACAGGTAAATTTTATCAAAATACTCTATAGCATCATGAAGCTTAAAACATACCTAACTTATATTCTTGTTCATCATTAAATTTAATAAAATCATTAAATTCAATATTAAAATCATCTGATTTCATTTTTTTCTTAAAATAAAAATAAAAAAATACCACAAGATCAAAAAAATTTGATTTTTTTTTGGACATATTTAATGTGCTATATAATAGCACATTAAATAGAAGTGGTGGTTTAGGAGTGGCAGCCACTTTTGAAGTGTTATGTGAATTACTTATAATACCTTGAGAAAAGATTTTAGTTTTCTGGTTTGCTTTAGTATCTAAAGAAATTTCAAATTTGTGTGTAGAAGTAAAAAAAACTTTTAGTAGAAAATAAAAGATTTACTTA